TTCCACCCCCCCCACCACCCCCCCCCCAGCCGCGCCGGGGTGGCTGGGGGGGTTTTGGGGAGTTGAAGACCACCCATCTTAAAGTTATCAAGGTTGAAAAACCCTGTGGTAGATATTCTCTTTGGCTTATCTATTTTTCCTTCCTGGCAAGAGGATCTCCTGCTCTGCCTTTTGCCTCCTTTTCTCTAGTGAAATCTGTTGGGTTGACTCTGCATCCCATGGGTCTCTGTTTCCTTGCAGGAGGAACTTCAAGCCTTGGGATTTCCTATGCTAAAGAGTTGGCCAGTCGTGGAGTTGACCTCATTTTGATTAGCCGGAATCGGGAGAAATTAGAAGCCGTCGCTAAAGAGATCGTGGAGACCTACAACATCAGAACCGCAATTGTTGTGACGGATTTTAGCAGAGGCCGCGAGGCCTATCCAGCCCTCAAGAAGGCTCTTGAGGGCAAAGAGATTGGGGTCTTAGTGAACAACGTTGGGGTGCTGTACCCTCTGCCCGATTCCTTCACCAGTCTGACGGAAGCTCAGGTTTGGGAGTTCATCAATGTAAATATTGGAGCCGCAAACATGATGGTGCACCTGGTGTTGCCGGGCATGGTGCAGAGGAAGAAGGGGGCCATTGTCAACGTTTCTTCTATCAGTTGCTGCAAGCCCTGTCCCCGATATACAGCATACTCGGCCTCCAAGGTATATGTCAACATGGAAAAAGTATGTCTGTGGTGGTTAATTTCCTAACCAATCCTTTGGGGAGGGGTCTCAAGTGGCACATGAGGAGGTAGACGCTCCCGCATCTTATCCTACGAGATCCCTGTGAAGTAGGGTGGATAAAAGGAGAGCAATTCACCCAAAGTAATCTAGCGAGCTCCAAGGTAGAGCATGGATTCAGCTATTGTTCCTGGTTGCAATCCAGCACTTTCACAGTTACATCACTTTTGGTACTGTTGTTTTTTTCTTTTAGATTTTTTATCCCACCTTTATTATTTTGATAAATAAGTCAAGGCAGCAAACATACTTAATCCTCCTTCCTCCTCCTGTTTTCCCCACAACAACAACCCTGTGAGATGAGTTGGGCTGAGTGAGAGGGACTGGCCCAAAGTCCCCCAGCCGGCCATCATGCCTAAGGCAGGCCTGGACCTCCCAGTCTCCTGGTTTCTAGCCTGGTGCCTTAACCTCTAGTCCAAACTAACTCTATTTTTAAAACATTTATATTATATTATATTATATTATATTATATTATATTATTTATTAATTTCTATAAACCTTATTTTTATTTTATTTAAATTTTAATATTAAATAATATTATTATAAATAAGATTTTTTAATCAAATATTATATTTGATTCCTATTTCTAAAATAAAGCAACAGGTTGTTTTCCTTTCTCCATGGGAAGGTATTTTCTTTTCATAAGCCTTTGGTGCATGACTAACAGCTTCCAGAAGATTCTAATATGACAGTGAAAAACACAGCCCCTCAGAAAAAAATCAGACTTGTCTAGAAGGCAGGTTGCCAATTTAAGCTGAGTTCCTGCACCCCAGGAACGGTATACCTGTGGCCTTTCAAATGATCGTAGAATCATAGGGTTGGGAGGGGCCTCTGAGGTCTACTAGTCCAACCCCCTGCCCAGGGCAGGAATCCTCAGACCACCTCAGACAAATGGCTGTCCAACCTATGTTTGAATACTCCAGTGATGAAGCACCCATAACACCCATAAGGCTGTTCTGCTGCTTAAGAGCCCTCACGGTCAGGAAATTCCTCCTAATTTCAAGGTTGGATCTCTCTTTGTTAAGCTTCCACCCATGGGTTCTTGTCCTACCCTTGGGTGCTATGGAGACTAAATCCACCCCCTCTGCCCTGTGACATCGCTTCACGTATCAGAAGGCTATTATGTCCCCCCTTAACCTTCTCTTTTCTAGACTAAACATACCAAGTTCCTTTAACTGTTCTTTGTAGGATTTGGCCTCCAAGCCCCTTACCGTTCTGGTCACTCTTCTCTGCACTCTTTCCAGTTCCTCAGTGTCCTTTTTGTATTGGGGCAACCAGAAGTGGACACAGTATTTATTCCAGGTGTGGTCCGACCAGCGCAGCATGGCGTGATGCTGTCGCTTCCTGGGATCTTGGCGCTATCCCACTGTTGATGCAGCCCAAAACTGCATCGGCTCTCTTGGCAGCCATGGCACATTGCTGGCTTCTGCTTAATCTGTGGTCTACCAAAAGCCCCAGATCCTTCTCACAAGCACTACTGCTAAGCCAGGTACCACCTATCTTGTACCTGTGCATCTGGTTTTTCCTGCCCAAGTGCAGCACCTCACATTTCTCACCGCCGAACAATGTTTTGTTGGCTAGGGTGCAATATTTAAGTCTGTCAAGATCCTTTGAATCTTGAGCCTGTCTTCAGGGGTGTCAGCAGTTTTTCCCAGCTTTGTGTCATCTGCAGACTTTACGAGATCCCTTGTTTCTCTCATCTAACTCATTTAGTGTCAGTGTCAGTGTCAGGCCCAGCCCAAGAACAACGGTGAAACAGTCCAGTCGAGTACAGTTCCTTTATTTGCTTACACCTTACAGACCGAATCTCACCAGACTCAATTTATACTACTGCAACTAGTGGATATGCCCTGGGAGATTCTAGGGAGGGGCTGTCCTGAACCTCTTTCTCTTCCCACGCTCCCCCTGCGGACTGTGTTGCCTCTTGCCTCCTCCCCTCTCCTGGAATGCACCCCCTCCTTCCTGACAGCCTTGATCTCCCACATCACTCTCCTCCTCGTAGATACGTTCCATCACATCTAGCTAGATGACTTGTTCTTGGACTCCAACCTTCATCAGCCACAGCCTTGTTGGGCCACTGATTGGGGATAATGGAGTCCAACAACCCCTGGAGGTCCTTAGATTTCTCAACCACTGATGGTATGCAGTAGTAGTCTACGTGGAATGGGATTCCTTCCAATCAAAAGAGAAATAGGACAACAACGTATCTAAGGGAGTGTCAAAAAGGGTGAGATGGCAGTGCACGCCCGATGCGCGTATACAAGCGATGGGGCTTCAACTGCAACTCTGCCATCTTGCCTTACTATAACACTTTCACAATTTAAAGCAGTAAAAATTGTCAGCAGTATTACTGCAGGTTTTTATATGTTCTTAAGATTTATTGTAATGGGTATACATGTTTACAGGATTCTGTTATTGTGTCACACCCTTCTCTGAAGAAGTGGGCTTTCTGAAGTGGGTCTTGGTAGGACCTGTGTTTGGATGGAATGATAGGTGGTACATTGGGGTGTATCAAAGGAGTCAAGGGGCTGGCTGCAACTGTGTGATTGAAGCCCTGCCCCTTTTTACCTATGTCGCACGTATGAGGCACCTAAAAGGGGGTGGGGCTCCATTCACACAGTTGCATCTGCCATCTTGACCTGACTCTTTTGATCCAACCTGTGGTTGATCCAACCTATGATTTAAGATACAAAAGGTTGAGAACTGTTGATCTAAAGTAGGGATGGGCAACTTCTTCCTGTGCATTTCATTGTTTAAAGTTTTTCAGCTCCTAAAGGCTGTGGTGGCTTGGATCAGCAATGCAGTAATCTTACTGGAGTGGTGGATCCAATCTTTATATGGGAGGGGCCAACTTAGAGTTAGTGTACCAACCATCCAGGATTTTTAATGCACTTATTTTAAGCCTTAAATTGTCAGGGAAGGGAAGGGAGGGGAGGGAAGGGAAGGGAAGGGAAGGGAAGAAAAACAGAAAAGAAAAGAGGGAGGGAGGGAGGGAGGGAGGAAGGAGAGAGAATGAGAGAGAGAGATGGAGAGAGAGAGATTACTGTAGTACCCAAAATATTTCTTGTGTTGCCAGATTTTGGTAGCCTGATTCTTTAAAGCCTTGTAAGTTGTAAAACTGGGTCTGCTTGTGGGTTGCCCACCCTGAGCTATCACAAGATTAGTCTGATGGTAGAATTGGGGTTTGGGTGTTGATTGGTTGATTGACACAACAGACTTAACCAGGTCAAATCTGAGCAGCTGCAAGTAAATAAGCTAAGCTTGGTTGGTATTAACCTTGGTTGTATATTCTTTATGCCTTGACATATTTGACTCAGCTTGTTTGATTGCTTTATGGGTTCAGGGTCATATGGAAATCCAGAAAAGGAGTTAATTAATTCAATTAGTCACCTAGTGAGTCAAGCTGTGTTCCATACTCACTCACGGACACCTCTTGTGTGGTCTAAACTCAGAATTTCACTTCTTGAATTGGTGTCCCCTCCCCGTCCCTTATTCTCAACAGACTTACCTGGATCATTTCAGCAGATCACTTCACTATGAATATGCGTCTCACGGCATTTTCATCCAGAGCTTAATTCCGTTCTTCATTTGCACCAACGTGACAACATGTAGGAACACACTCTCCAAAACGGGCTTTTTTGTGCCTTCTTCTGATGAGTACGTACGTCATGCGGTCACCACCCTTGGGGTCTCCCGAAGGACGACAGGATACTGGCCGCATACACTCTTGGTGAGATCACTTTTTTCCATAGCTTCTGTATATTTTCTCTTCTTGTTGCCAGGAGTTGTGGACCCAAGATCGCACAGGGTTTTGAACGTGAGCTAAGCAGCCTTTCTCAAGTGGGATTCCATGAGAGATTGAAAAACAACAACAACGGGTTTTGAACTCAGCATGCCACACAGAGCTAGCGCTTGTAGTGCTGGGAATTTTTACCTACCCCAACCCAGTGGCCAACCTGCCGTTTTATTGTTGTGGTAAAATGTGGGTTGTGTAGGTTAGAAATGAATTGTGTAGTGAAGTTTTCGCAATTTTTGCACATTTTATGCAAGGGTTTCCTGAGGCCTGAAAATTATTTCGAGGGTTCCTGCAGGGTAAAGAGGTTGAGAAGGGTTGAAGCAGGGCCTTAAGTTGCAGTGGCAATCACTTAGGCCTTCTTTCACTGTATTGCTCAAGGTCTCTGGAAGTTTCTATCCTTTTCCTTTTGAAAAGGAAGGAATAGGAAGATCTGGAATGGAGACTACTTCTGAGCTGTCCTTGCATTTTATTTTATTTTATTTTACTATGATAAACAGGATTATTGTTAATACTGTAATTGTAGATGAAGTTGTCTAATGGATTCTTCTGTGAGGAAAAATAAAACAAAACCTTCTTTTGTCTTGCAGATGATATTAGCACGGTTTGTCCCTGAATGGATCTGGGCTTGGGTGGTATCCAGAATAAAATATGGGCAGAAGTCACTTTGAAAAAATGTCTGTGAAGGATCTTGGCTTGAGCTTCTGGATCCAAGATCTCAAGTTTTAGGTTGACCATGGCTACAAAGCCCCGACTTCTTTGCATGAATCCCTTCCTCACTCACTTTATTTGTTTGAAATCATGTACTTGAGACTTGAAGAAAGTTTGGCTTGGACGTAGCTGAAAGGAACATGGTTGAGACAAACTTTTAGCAAGCTGGCTTAGTATTGTCTACCCTGAGGCATCATTGATGCATGGTTCTTCATAGCTTCCCACTGAAAGATACAGGGAATCCTGTGGATGGTGAAGAAATTGAGTTGTTGAAGAACTTGGATTCCACAGGATCAAAAGGAAAGAAATAGCTACCAAATATGGCATTATATATCAGCTTTGGATTCTGCCTGATGAGAGTGTTCCTGTGATGCAACATTACCATCCCCCCAGGATACAGCTGTTCAACAGAGGTGTCCTCCATCAAATCAGTACAATCTTGTGCTGTATCAGGAAGCTGTTTGCTGTTGTATGTATGATGTCTACAACCATGCTTTGGAGTGGGCAACGCTGTCATGGTTTTTAGGGGCTCGACTGAGGTGGCTGTCGCATGGGGGCATTCTAGTTAGAGACAGGGTGGCACGGAATCCTTGACTTTTCAGCCTTGGGACAAGGCTGAGGACAGAAACCCCAAAGAAGGTGGAATTGGCATACAGGTTCTTTGGCAACCTTCCCTGATCTGTTTTGCTCCAGATGTGTTGGATTACATCTCCCCTTATCCCCTGCGGGTCTAGTAGTCCTGCTGGCTGGGAGGGAGGAGAGTGCTCATCCCATGCATTTAAAGAGTATCAGGCTGATCAGTTGTAGGAGGCTCCTGAACAATTTCTCTTAAGCATCAATTAGGCTTGGTTTCTGTGACAGCTGTCATGGAAGTGCGGGTCTTCGCCCCAGGCAGGGCGGCTGATGAACTGTTTGCCTGTCATGTCTTTTGAGTTCAGTGTGTCCTCTGAAATCAAGGCCCAGGTATTTTCAGACCCCAAGTTAAGGCAGGCCACCGAGGCTGTGCATGCCCCCAACTCCTCTTTTTGCCGCCTTAGAGGCCATTGAACCAGGACTGCTGAACAACAAGCAACTCCATTCCCCAACATTTTTCGGACTGGACATACAGTGATGCAAACTGTAGTGTAAAAGTAAGGTAGCTAATAAGTGCTATAAAATACCTGTGGTCACAGAAGGACAGCGCCAGCAGCTTTAGACTAGGTTCGTATACCATGTTTAGCCTTGGCTTGTGAACCATGGTTTGGTGAGCAAACCCACTTGCTTGGGATCACACAGCATAAAAGGCCATAAACTGTGGTGGTCGAACTCTTTACTGAATATTCTAAAACAAAGGCAAACTTGTCACATTATGGGTTGGTTAATGATTATACCTAACACCAGCTCCCAAGATTTTGAGTGGTCTAGCCTCATGAATACATTCAGACTCACCTCTTTTTCTTCAAACAGGCAGATTTGCTGGCTGGAAAGCGAATTAAAAAGATAAGCTGGGTGGTACTTAGTTGCCAAAACAAGTGGAGGAAACCTCCTGTTTTCATTCTCAGCTGTGATTTCTGTTTTTTTGAGCAAGCCGTGCTTTCTGCCATAGAGTATACCTAGAGTTACAATCATGACAGCAAACTGAATTGGATCATCTTTTTTCTTTTAGAGTCTTAGCCGCAACAAAAGTTATACCTGTCAAGCAGTTTGAACTGATGTGTGTTTGTCCTATTAAAGGCTTACTCCTACAGAAATGTTTTTGGAACTTGTGTATATATATTTTTTAAACGGCATCCTTTTTTCCCACTAGGACTAGCAATCAAAACAACTAATAGAAATAAAGTAGGAGATAAACCACACAGTTTAAAACATAGCAACAGATCACGTAAGAATACAAAACAGAAAATGCACAATAAATGAATTTACATGGCAGAAGGATAATGGCAAAATACAGAGCTATTTTGCTACTTGCTCCCTGGGTCTACCTTTTTTTAAAAAAAGCCTAGTTCTAGCTTTGTGAGGTTTCTGAAAGTCATCAAGTACCAAAGTCCTAAGCATTTCTGTGATTAGTTAATAGACACATTTAAACATGGAAATGAAAAGATTTCTTTGGTAAAATATTTAGAATGGAAACAGTGGCATGTTGATTAAAAGAGCGGGACACAACAGCGCATCACATAATTTAAAAAATAGATGCTGAAAGTTAGAAATTGTGTTGTAATGTCAAACATTACATTGTTGTATGGCGAACAAGATACACATGCAATCTTTCCATGAGTAATAAGAATTTCAAAAAGTCTCAAGGCATTTTATACTAATGCATTATGGTATAAGTTTTTGTGGACTACAGTTTAGTTCAGTGGTTCTCAAACATTTTGGCCCTAGGGCCCCTTTACATTCTTAAAAATGATTGAGGACCCCAAAGAGCTTTGGTTTATATGGGGCATATCAATTGATATTTACTGTATTAGAAATTAAAACTGAGAAATGTTAAAATATTTATTTATCTGACTTTGCAGACCCCCTGAAAGGGCCTCGAGGACCCTCGGGGGTCACCAGACCTCACTTTGAGAACTTCTCAAAGTTTATCAGAAGTTGTATTATTCTGAGAGGTATATGCATGTTTGGGGGGATTAATGGTCACTATTAACATGCAGTGACAATTGTCTTGGGAAAGTAGAAGAAAATAGACCATGATAGAAATGACGATTGGTATACAGAAAGCTTTGCGAAGGTCTCAGAACAAACCAAGGACGTGTTTAGGAAATGGAAAGATGCTAAGTCCCAAAAGAAGACTATGGATAACCCAGAACTGCAGAGCATGTGTCAGGAAGCCAAAAGCTCAGGTGAGCTGAGGTGAGCAAAAGATACCAAGACTATCAAGAAGGGCTTCTTAGGTATGATCAAAGTTTGAACCCCCCCCCCCCCACCAAAGAGTAATAGTTGATCAAGACGACCAAACAGTCAGAGCGGTGCTGGACTCCTGTCGGTTGGATGCTGGGCGATTGGGTGGCTCACTACTAAAATCAAACATCAAAAACAGTTAAAAATATAAATATCCACATTAAAGTAGCTAAAAGATCTATACTATATAAAAAGACTATATACATAAAAAGATATAAAATTCAAGATGATCGGGGGGGTAGAATCAATTATCCCACGAGCCAATTCCAACGATGCGAGCCCCCATCAGGTCCCCAGGCCGTTTGGCATAGCCAAGGTTTCACGCTTTTCCTGATGGCCGTGAGAGTGGGGGCAGACCGCACCTTGGGTGGTGGTGTTCCACAGAGTGGGGGCCATGGCAGGAAAGGCCCTCTTCCTAGACCCCGCCAGTCGAAATTCCTTGACTGGTAGGGTCCACGACATGCCCCTTCTGCTGGACCGAGTGGGGCGGGCTGATATAACGGGGGCGAGACGGCTCCTCAGATAACCTGGTCCTGTGCCATGAAGGGCCTTAAAGGTAATAACTAACACCTTGTATTGGATCCGGAAGCAAACTGGCAACCGATGCAACTCGCGTAACAGGTGTTTTATGAGCCCCCCGGGGGCATTCAAAACTGCTGCATTCTGTGCCAGCTGTAGCTTCCAGATACTCTTCAAGGGTAGCCCCATGGACAGCACATTGCAGTAATCCAACCGGGAGGTGACCAGGGCATGAGTGACCATGGCCTTCCAACTCGGATTCTAAGGGCTATTTGTGTGCTGTCTTGCAGCAGGAGAAACAGAAGTGAATGCATCTCTTCTGTATCAACCAACTAAACGTTGCTGTTAAACTCCTGCAACCAACTACAGAGACCCACAATGGCTGTGAGCTGAAAGCTATTGCTGACACCCAGCACCCCCAACACACATAACACATGTCCATTTATTAAAAATAAAAAAATAATAAACATCTTGATTGTATAGATCAATGTTTCTCAACCTTGGCAACTTTAAGATAGGTGGACTTCAACTCCCAGAATTCCCCAGCCAGCTTATATAGATCCAGAATAATCATATAGAATAATAAGCAATATGGCAGAATGTAAACTCCAATACTCGCAGTTGCTGGGGGTGGGGGAAATACATATATAGCAAAAAGTGGCTTTTTACGAAGTTAAGTACTTTAAGGGGCTTCTAACTGCAATTCCTATTATTCACAGCCATGCTGCCGAAATGTGCTGGGACTTGTAGTCCACACCAAGGGTGTCCCGGTTTGGGGAAAGCTGCCGTAGAGCCCCTCATTTGCCTTCAAGACTACACGTTCCACAATGCTATGCGGCGGCGGGGGGCCGACGGCCCTAGGATACTCGCACTCCTTGAAGAGGCTCACGCGGCCACCGTCCGTTGGCTCCAACTCAACTCCGCCTGTGCTCTGGGAAATGTAGTTCTTCTGGCCGGCCAGTTCTTCATGGGGGAAGAGCGCCAGGACTACCAGTCCCAGCAGGCGCCGGGCTTCGTCATCGCCCGTTCTTCATGGAAGGAGCTTCTCAGGCGGCTGCTCGGACCTAGCGGAGGGTCCGGCTGACGGGAGTCGCTCTCGCCTCCCCCCGCGCTCGCTGCGCCCGCCGAAGCGCCCCCCCCCCGCGACCCGACGCTTCTCACGCGCGT